CAAATAATGCCACAGGTTAACATTACCAGTACTGCCACTGAAGACCCCAGGCTCTGATGAGCCTCCAAGATGACTTATGTTTTAAGATAATTTCTTTCTTGCAGCAGTTTGAAGTAGGGGAAATGAAAACCTCAGTTTTCTGTGCTAAAAGATTTTGATAGAAAGCAGTTCAGTTCTCTTTTTGAATTAGCAATTTGGGGCTATTGCTGGGATAGCATATTCAGGAGGTCAGAATTCAGCTGCCTAAATACTGGTGGTCTAATGCTGTTCTACATGACCTTGGACATTCATCCTGGCCTGCAACTGGTCTTCCATAGACTGTGCTATATCTGCCAGCCTTCTGTAGATGTAGATGCTTTATGGTATCTCAAATGGCAGTAGATAACAAAGGACAGCTTGCTCAAGGTGTCCTTGTGTGTGCTCTTCCCACAGAGAGGCACATTCCTGGAGCTACAAAAAAGTGAAAGTAACCAAGCTTTGAATGGACAGTAATGTTTTCCGATCATGAATTGAGCTGAGTGAAGAGAAATGGGAAAAGGCTTCCTGAAAGTTGCACACACTGTACATAGCATTCACATCAGGAAGGGATTATTTATGAAAAGATGACCAAAACCTTGAACAAATTGATAAACTTGCTGAGAGACACATTAGAGCTAAAACTAATCCATATTTATCATTTATCTTCAGAATAGGAAGCCATAAAACTGAACACTTTATGACAGTTTGAGGAACATGTCAATACATTTTATTATCAGTAGTTTAAATTGTCAAAGAAAATAGCTACTTGTGCCAAAGAAAGAAGGGCAGTTTATTAGAAATTAACAACTGTCCATTCAAGGTAAATCATCTCGAGCTGGTAGACAAAAAAAAAAAAAAGAGACAACAGACTTAATAAGTAAGTGTTTCTTAGAGAAGGAGCATTTGAATTCTCCTTGTAAAGAGGCAAACTTGAAATAAGATAAATAGTAGTGTATGGTCTGATCAGAAGCTATACCTGTGTCCATTCATTTGTCTGAGGATCGTAAGACTCCACTGTATTAAGGTATGTTTGACCATCATATCCTCCAACAGCATACAACTTGTCACCGAGAAGACATACTCCCACTGCATCTCTGCTAATGCTCATAGAGGCCACAGCAGTCCACATATCTGTTTTTGGATCATACCTAAAAGATAACGTGTGTTATGCTCTAAAACTGTTGCCAAAATTCAATAGAAAAAGTAGTTTTAGATTTCAATAGAAAAAGTACTACTCTTAAAGTAGTAGAAAACAGGTATTATTAGGACAGCACAGATTTGAGTGTTAATTTCAAAGGGCTTTTCCCCTCAAATACTCTTTGAAAATGTTTCTTCAGTAATCTGGTAACACAGTCAGTACTAGCTACTTTGTGCTGCTTTCCATATAGTAATACAGACATATAGATACAGCTGCTCTTACTACATTTCTTACTCTATGTTTAAACATACCACTCCAGAAACAGTTCTGCTGCTACACTGCAGTAGAGCAAGTGCTTGCTCTAAGTGATAACTACTACATGTCAAAGCACAGACTGTTAAAGCTGAGTGTGGTACTAAACAGAGTTACTTGCCATGGAAGATTATAATTAAAAAAAAACCCAACAACAAAATAAACCCAAACTCCAATTTGATAAAATTCTGAGGGAAATGCAAAACCCTCAAGACACTTTACAATACTTCTTTAATCATAGCTCCCTATCATCAGAAGCATCAGCACAGTAAAAGACAGATAGTTAAGTGAAAAACATTAAATGTGATTCTAGAATAATAACATTCTTGACAAGTCAGACTGAGAACTACAGAGGAGAGTTCATGCTATTCTTACGTCAAGGAACATGTTTTAACCTGACTTTTTTCTCTTGTGAAAGGACTTCTGCTCTATTTTAAAAAGCATTAAATTCAAAGTTGTTCTCACTAATTAATCATACTTCATTCAAGGAGATTGTTAGAAGAAAAAATATTAGGGAGAATTTTCTGTTAAAAAAATCTGTCTTGGCAATATTTTGGATCATATTATGCCTACACAGTATGTTTTCATACATGTTTCCCTGCTCATGCTAAAAATAACATTACCCCATAACGTAAGCGTTTCTACTTACAGCTCTTTCCATAAATCACTCTATAGACTAGCACTATTAGAGTTACAAGCAGGATATGTCTTCATGAGGATATTACCTTTCGACACAGTCCGACAGCCTGGATGTTAAATTTGATGCTGGGGCATCATGACCACCTATTGCATACAAGAACCCATTCCAGGTGGTTACACCTACACCCCCTCTTCTTTTTGACATCTGAGCACAGAGGGTCCATTTGTTTGTATGAGGATCAAAACATTCTACTGACTTAAGACAAGAACTTCCATCTCGACCACCAACTGCATAAAGCCTATAAAGTAAGAAATAAATAAATAAATGTTGCCTGAACAAGACAAAGTTTCCAGTGATGGATGAAGGACGTGTCAATATGTTAAAAAGGTACCTTTATAAGGAGACTTTCAACTTTCAATAGAATGTTGTTGTGAAAACTCAGCTAAATTTTGCTCCAATCTTTTCTTATTGTCATGATCAATGCATAATAATAACTTACAGAAAATTGATTATATCTGTACCACAGCATTCATCTTCCAACCTATGTACATAGCTAACATTTTCTAAATTATATATGTGACTTGACAGGCAAAGGCCCATTTCTAGCAGAGTAAGAATGACAAATTCAGTAACGGATCTGTGCATGCAACAACTTTCCCCTGCCTCATCTTAGGCTTTCAAGTATTTTTCTGGACCTGGGCTTTAGGTTTATGACCAACAGCACTATGTTAAGTCCCTCACACCCACTAGGTGGCCCAGTTTGCTCAGTTATAACAAAACATTCACGAATCTTTTCAACTAATCAAATAAACTTGATAAAGAGTTTATGCAATCTATGGTTAGAAGCAGAAATGCCCAGTATTATTGTTTGGGAAGGCAGGAACTCAGAAGCCATTATCAAAAGGAAGCAAAGCATCAGAAGTAAAGTCCAGTCTGAGAGATCACCTGAAGTATCATTAATTCAATCCTTTCATAGCGTAAGGCACATCACAGTATGGTAAAATAATCAGATAAACATTAGATACTGTATATGATGATAGTGTGAACAATTTAGAACAGTTAATATTCAACACGTTCTCAGTCTGGGAAACACCGCTATTTGGATTTTTTTACTGACCAACAAACTTAAATACAAACATCTTGTAAATATGATTGACCTAATAGTGCTTAGAAAGAATGTTAATACCCTTAAAAAATAAATAATAATTTCCATGCAAGTTCCCATGTTTAATAACACAACTTGTTTATGGTAAGGTACGTACTGAAGGATATTGAAAAATCCTGTTGCAGTTTCAAAAAGTTCATTCATCAATTCTTTATGGAACATAGTATTTAAATGAAGCCTCCCACCTTATCTGCCCCCAAAACATGACAGTTTCACAGAATCACAGAATCGCTCGGT